CTGTGAATGTCCTGATGGGTCCCTGCAGAGGTCCCCTGCCACAACCTCCCCATTACATCAGGAGAACTTGGCTCCTACTGCCAACCTCAGGGGAGGGGGCCGTCCAGTCTTCCAGAGCCACAGAGCCAGGGTGGCCCAAGCACCACCCCATTCCCTGTCTGTGGGGTTTCTTCCTTCTCCTGCTCCCACCATATTTTCAAGATGGGTGGCCTTAACTCATCTCCTCAATGTCCCCAAAACACCCTTGATAGTTCTGTCAGGGACAGAGAGTCCCTTGTCCACTGTCAGAAGGCCAGGGTACCTCAGAAGGTGTGGGCAAACGTTGGCCACTGGGTCACTTCACTAGCCCCTCAACCAAACATCCCTCGGCTCTCATTGGGTGGCCTTGCCTCCCACTGCCCCCATGAGAATCAACAATCAAGATCTTCTTCCGAGACCACAGGCCCAGCCTCTGCCCTTGATCGAAACCTGCAGCTGCTGCTGAACACTCATCCCTACTTAGATAGTCTGCCTGATCTCACCTGTGCCCACCCAGGAAGAGGCGCTGATGAAGTGTAAGGGGCTGCACTGGTACCAGTTAGCCGACGTAGGGTCCTGAAGGGCCAGGCACCCGAGTACCCCATTTCAAGGCTCCTTCTGACCATGGCCTGGTCCATTCCTGCTGCCTCTCAAGGCTGGGAGACAGGGACTAGGGTCCACCTTCCTCCCTGGACCCAAGGGTGGCTTAGTTTCAGGACACCATTGCTGCTGCCCTGGCTTCAGCTTTCTTTGGGGCACCCAAAACCTGCCTGGCAGCATCCCATGCCAGCTAGCCTCATTCCAGCCCCCCTTTCTCCTCTCTTGTACAGTGAAATACGATGCAATATGAGATTCCTTTCCATATACATACCTGGCTCTCCAGTCAGGGACCTTGATGTTCATTATGGCCAGATGTATGCTGTTAATGTGCAAAATTCAATACACATCTATAGTCCTAAGAAGCTCTGGTAGTGTAGTGGTTACGAATCGGGCTGCGAACCACAATGTCAGCAGTTCAAAACTATCAGTTGTTTCACAGGAGAAAGATAACGCTTTCTGCTGCCATAAAGATTTACAGCCTTGGAAACCCTGTACAGGGTCGCTATGAGTCAGAATCAACTCCACGGCACACAACAACAACATATATAGTCCTGGTGTGGTGCTGTGGGCTAAAGCTTCACACTGCAAAGATGTGTGAACTGCAAGATCAGCGTTTCAAGCTTACCAGTTGCTCCTTATAAACCCTATACAGGGTTGCTTTGGGTCAGGATTGACTCGACGGCACTTAACAATTTTATATATATATAGTTTTGTTTTGTTGTTTTACTGTTTTCATAAATGTGAAATGTCAGACAATGAGACAGTTGTTAAGTAAAAGGTAAGTACAAATCATTTTCCAAATGTGTTTCAACTTGTTAAGATTAAAGATGGAATAACTGAATACCCTGGATTGCTCAATCAGTGGAGAATTTGGAAAAATTTTCTTTCCACATACCTGTGCTACTGAAGTCCAAACCAAACCCACTGCCATAGAAGTTGATTCTGACTCATGGAGAGCCCACAGAAAAAAGGAGAACTCTGCCCCATGGGGTTTCTAAAGCTGTCAATCTTTACAGAAGTAAACGGTCACATCTCCACCTTTCGCCCACCTTACACTACAACAGCAAGTATGAATGAAGAGAAACTGATTTCAAAGGGACAGAAGCATACATTTAAGAAAATGCCTTTGGGTTGTGAGTTTTTATGCTTGATAGTTACCCAACAGCTGAGAATTAAACAAGAAGCACATTCAAGAAAGCATTTCTGGTTTAAGATGTCTACCTAAGTGGGTGATAAGGCAGTGCCTGAGGATTTCAGTGAATTGAAAGGAGAATTACAACAGGTTATGTGTCTGGCTGGCTTTATGGCTTCCAAGATACTTTTAACACACATCCTTCTCATGTAATCTTTACAGCCACCTACAAGTTGGAATCCACTTGATGGTAGTGGGTTAAGATGGAAGGGGTAGATTACTGATTTGAGGTACTTCGTTTACAATAGAGGCATTTACAGCTATAAATTTCCCTCTAAGCACTACTTTAGTTGCATTGGACAGATTTTGGTATGCTGTTTCTACATTTTCATTCATCTCAAAATATTTTCTCATTTCCCTTCTGAGTCTATCTTTGATCCAATGGTTATTTGTTTTTGTTTGTTAAATGCCATCGGGTTGCTTCCGATTCATAGTGACCCTGTTTAGAGTTTTTAAGGAGTGACTGGTGAGCTCAAATTGTGGACTTTATGTTCAAAATGACATTACAGTCCAATGTATTAACCCCCAGCACCACTCCAGGACTCCAACCGTTATTGAGGAATGTGTTAATTTCCACATACTTGTAGATTTCCAAAATTTTACATTTTGATTTTTACTTTAATTTCACTGTGGTTAGAGGACTTACTATATCCTTTTAAATTCATTGCACTTGTTTTATGGTGAAGTTTAAGGTTAATCCATGAGCCTGTTTCATATGCACTTGGAAAGAATTATAGTCTGCTCTTGTTAAGTGAGGTGTCCTGGTGCGGCACCGTAAGTTAACGAGCTGAACTACAAGAAGGTTTGAATTGTGAGGCTGGTGCATCAAGCTCATCAGCTGCTTCTCAAAAACCCTACACAGGGTAGCTATGGGTCAGAACTGACTCAACATCACTTAACAACAACAAATTGTTAAGTGAGGGAATGTAGTGGTTCTGTAGGATAAGCAATGGACTGTGAACCAAAAGGTCAGTGGTTCAAGCCCACCAGCTGCTCCATGAGAGAAAGATGAGGGTTTCTGCTCCCCCAAAGATTTACAGCCTCGGAAAACCGATACAGGGTCACTGAGTCAGATCCAACCCAATGGTATAACAACGGGAGCAATGTGGCCAGTAGAGCAGGCTTCCTGCTTATTTTACAAGTTCTGAAAATGAAGGCCTGAAAGGTCAAGGCACTGACCAAAGTTCTAATGACTGCTAAACGGAGAGGTGGGGCGAGTGCCAAAGTTTTCTGATTCCTAATCCAGTGGTGGAAGGTAAAAAGGAAAAACAGCCAAGGGAGAATTTCATAATTTCCACTTAACCTTTCTAGATGGATTTCAATTGCTCAGCTACCTAGCAACTGTGTTTGTCAGATGGATGAATTAAGAGTTATAAGAGGCTCCCAAGCATTTTCCAGAGGGGACCACATATTCTAAGTGATGCAAGGAGAAAATGACAATACACATGCTTTTGGGCAAATCCCACAAAAGGGAACCCAACAAAACTCCTTCTTGCGTGCTGATGGAAGAATGATGGTTTCTGCCTGCTCCCTCTCCTCTCTAAGGCAAGAGTACAATTTTCTCCACCCTTGTAGGCTGGGGTTAGTGGAAAAGAACATATGGTAATACAAAATGTATCCCATCTGTATGGGAGTCAGTTAGCAGCCACAGAATGGTCCAACAGGATCTTAATCAGAGATTATTCTGTTACCCATCTTGTTTCTGTATGACAAGTTTTCGTAAGAGAAGCTGATTAGAATGGAGACAACATGGCAAACTCCATAAATATCTCATGACTTAATATAAACAGACACATCAAGGGCTAATTAAAGTCCCAAAAGCCTAACTGCATACAGTGAAGATCTGCCATACATCAGCAAACAATAGAAGCAGTCCTGCTTGGTACCCAGAGATTACTTGGACCTCAGCTTCTCAGCCAGAGCCTTTTAAGAACATTCAAGAAGGTTTGCTGACATTTCACATCTATTCATTCACTCATTCAACAAACAGCTATAGGGAACCTACTATGTGCTGGGCATTATTCTAGCACTGAGGATACATTTTTGCCCTTCAGAGGTTCTTATTCTGAGGTTGGGGGAAAGACAAACAAGCCTATCAACAATAAAAATAAACAAAAGGATCTTACATCAGATGGGAAAAAGTATCATGTAAAATGAGCATGTAAGTGGGAGAAAGCAAGCTGTGCCTCTGTGTACAAAAGAATAATTAATGTCAGAAAGATGAAGCTCTAAGATGTCTAAAGATAGGTACTTAGAAGCACACAGTGAAATCCAGAAGTAGAAAGGAAACCATCTTTAAATCCTACATCTTATTACAACTAACCCTGGTAGCATAGTGGGTTATACAATGGGCTGCTGATCGCAAGGTCAGCCGATCAAACCCACCAGCTGCTCGGCAGGAGAAATATGAGACTTCCTGCTCGTGTAAAGATTTACAGGCCCGGAAACCCTATACAGGGTGTCTATGACTCAGAGCTGACTTGAAGGCACAAAACCACCAACCCATCACTGAACTTGTGTTTATTGTCCTGGGGTGGCGCTGTGGGTTAATGCGCTGGACTACGTGATTGGTTTGAACTGCAAGGTCAGCTTGAACCACATACAGTAACCCTACACAGGGTCACAATGAGTTGGAACTAACTTGAGGGCACGTAACAACAAGGGCTCATTAGAGTGTGCTCCACCCATCACAATTCATTTTCACCCAAAGACAAATAAATGATGTATACTTTTAAGTAAGTATAAAAAAGACTTCAACAGAAACATTCTAAGAACCAGAACTTCCAAATTGAAATAAATTATTTTCAGTGTAAGAAACCTTAGAAGGAAGATTCCTTTAAAACAAAACAAAAGTATCAGAGGTTAAGTGAAATTTAATCCAAGTAGAATGTAAATATGTACGTTAAAATTTTTTTTTCTTTCCTTTTGTCCTTTACTACTTCTCAACTCTGCATGTGTATCTAGACTGTATTAACTCATAGTTGTTTGTTACTCTTTAAAGAAGATTCCATTACTTTCCAGATCTGCAAAGGAGCAAAGATTTCATTAAATTACCCTCAGTTAGGATCTTTCAGGCTTGGCGAACTTAAAAGACTGTAAAAACAGTATTTTGTCATGGCTGTCACATAGAACCAAGAACAAAGAGGAAAACAATTAGCCCTTTGGAAATAAAAGCAGTGGCTTAACTTACCTGGAATAGGAATAATAGGAATACTTTCATTGGGGACCACCCGAGGTGAACTGCTATCTTCCACATAGAAGTGAGCTGTCTGGAAACATTTTCTGTGTTGGAAGGAGAAAAAACAGGCAACAGTGAGTCCAGAGAAAGACACTTTGTCTGAGTTGATCATTTTTCTATCCTTTTCCCCCAGATTTTCCCACTTTAAACAGCACACAATACTGAGTGCAAACTATTAAGTAACAAATTCCAAGGGCAACACTGAGGCTGTTGGAAGAACCCAAAAGAGCTAAAAAAACAAAAATTTTTTTTTTTTGATTGTCCCATATATTCAACCTGAAAGTTCAAAGGGAAAGCCTTAGCAATGCATTGTTAAAATACATGAAAACTCGGCATGGGGAGTAAACTTGCTGCAGCAATTGCTGGGATTATTCTATACTACTACTACATTTTACAAATTATATTAAGCATTTGCTGTTCTAAACCCTCACACCAAGTTCAAAACCATAGCTCAAGTCCCCAAAATGCAGTCACAACTAACTCTCATCACATTGTTAATGCTTAGCAAAGGACCTGGAAGCGGCAGACCCTTCTTTAAAGGGGCCAGTGGGCTTCAAGCGTGCAAGCACTCCGAATCAAGAGACCCCTGCAAGGCAGCCCTCTGCCACAAGGAGGTGAACCCCTCAGGTGTCATCTGCTTGTCTTCTGTTTGGGTTTTTTTTTTTTACCTGTACTTCAGGCAAAGCAGGGAACAAACACTGTTCATCACAGGACGGGCAGTGAACAGAAAAGCCATCGGCAGCTCCCTCAGCCTCTGCCTGCTGATGCTGGTCGGCCCTGGGCTTTCCAGCATCCACGTCACTGCTCATTGCGGCCCTAATGAGCTGCCGGAAGCACCGTCTGAATATTTAATGAGGCTGCTCAGCGTGAACGGCTATTGTGATCAGACAAGGGTCCCTGTTCATCTGGCGGAGGGGCCTAACAATGGCGTGCCCTACTGCTGGGACTTTTAGCCGAGCAGGCGGCATCCTTCTGGTGTGGGTGTCACTAGATCCACCTCACTCCATCCACCCTGGGCGGCTCACACCAAACAGCCTTAACTCACATCACAGGGTCTCCTTTTCTGGGGGCAGTATTCCAATGACCCAAGACAAGTTTTCCTCAGAGTTGTGTTTGTTCCTCTAATCAAAAGCATCCTGGGATGATTTCCATGGTCATACTGTGTTTCTAAGAAGCCTAAAAGGGGATTTGGGGGCAGGATATCAGAATATCAAGCAACTCTAAAAACTTACAGATTTCTGTGGGGAATCAGAGTCAGACAGATGACTATCTCGGCTTGACAGCTGATCACTGGTCACAGTGTGCAGCGCTGTGCCTTAAGCAGGGCCTGTTTTCAGAAGGGACCTAGTTCTGACCAACTGTATATTGGGGCACTGCTCTAGAATCCACCAGGACTGCTGCTCCCTACCATTAAGGGGTTCTGAATGTACACTGCTCCAACTCTTGGCCAAAGTCTCCCATGATCGCTCTTGCAGCGCAAGTGAAGAAAAACGATATATATATATAT